GTCCATCTATATGTAAAGGATATCTTAACCTCCGTTTGCGGTACCCAACACAGCAGCAGTAAGGGAATCAGCGCGCGGGTAAAACCCGACTCGGACGCGTTCGGAATAACGCGGGTAAAACCCGTGAATATACGACCTCAATCGCGAGTCCCCCTTACTGCTGCTGGATAGAAACCCTAGCACATTTTGGGGTTAGAAACCCTAGCTCATGTTGATGATAGAAAGCCTGGCAAATGTTGGGGCTAGATACCCTAGCATATGTTTGGGATAGAATGCCTAGCACGTGTGGGGTTAGAAGCCCTAGCACTAATTGAGGACAGAATGACTGGCACATGTAAGAGTTAGAAACCTTAACATCTATTTTAGATAGAATATGTGCTTACAAAGTATCAAGGTTAATAAGAGCTATATATTGCTAGGCTTTCAATTACTAGAATTAACAGATATGGAGATAGGGGATCGCCCTGGCGTACCCCGCACGAGATGTTCAAAAAGGAATTGGCGGTACCATTATTAATCACACAACTAGATATAATCTTATAAAAGGTCCTTTTCATTAGGAAAAGCCCGAGTAATTTATTATTTAATTTTCCGATTGGGCTCCCTGTGCAGCCTAGTCAACTTTTGGCAACCTCGTTCCCAGGGCCCTTTCGGCCCGACTCCAAAACAAAATGGCGGTCGTCGGGGAGAAGACCCTGGTAAAGGCTGGTCACGTGACCTAAAATACTCCAAGATTTTTGGAGTATTTGATCACGTGGTTTTCGTTTCAAAATGGCGGCCAAACTAGTATTTCAAATCGTGTAAATGTGGGAAAAAAGGCCTTTCTTCGTGTGTATGTTGCTCCCGTTTTAGATTACAAGACAGTTTTTGGATTGCTTGAAGCATGAAAGCTGCAATTTGTGCGAAAGTTCACCAACAACCGTTTTTTAGCCATTTTTTGAGTCGCTTAGAAACAAAAGTGTTGTAAACTTACTCCGGGACTTTACTTATATGGTTTCACTTTCTACTGCTACTGCTACTTCTTATAGTTTTGACTGCTTGGATACTGAGATTCGGAGTTGTTCATTGTCTATCAAGTGACCCGTAGCTTAACTGTTTATGAACACGTTTAACTATTGCTACCCAAGACGTATCTTTCTTGGAGGTTTTTTAACACCACCAACAACAATTTATTACTTCAATAATTTATTTATTTACAATATTACCGTAATTTATTACAATAGATATACAACTATAGTTTATTACTCTCATATTCATAGAATTATTAAGGCAACAGACAACTTAAAACACTCGTATGTAAACTTCATGTTCAAGCCTGTCTTTCTTTTATTCCGTTTGAAGACTAATCGTGCGCAATTAAGTTTTTCATAACTTCCTTGCGTTGTATTTTTGCACCCTGTACTATGATGATTTTATTATGTATTATGTGGGGTATCATGTGTAGCTTCCAGGTCATATTTGTGAATAAAAAAAATCTTTCGAACCTACTTTGTTTCATGGCGGTTTTTAACATCGAACTAAGCTGTACCAATCATACAAACCTTGTATGCGGCATTTAGGATATCAGTAGAAGCTGTTGGGTCATTGCTCTTTCTTTTTAAATCATAATTAACACGACTTTTTTAGGATGAAACGATTTACCGAGGAACAAGACGAAATACAGATAAAAAGTCCGCCATTTTGTACTATAAAATTTGGACCAATCAAAGTGCTTGTAAAGAATTTTTTCAGGGACCAATCAAAACGAGTGATAGAACAGCCTTTACCAGGGTCTTCTCCCCGACGACCGCCATTTTGTTTTGGAGTCGGGCCGAGAGGGCCCTGGGAACGAGGTTGAACTTTTGGCTCCTTGGGCATCCTGTGTTCCGTAGGCAAATTAGCCATGATGCTTTGCAGTAACGAAATAAAACAGGAAGTCATGTGGATGGTGCAGTTATATTATATTATATGTAGGGTGATGTCGAGTCGAGCATACTTTGTGAATGCTATGTATTTTCTCGTGGAAATCGTGACTTTTATTGTTGTACATATATTAGCTCTTTTCTATGGCTGTCTGATGCTGCTAAAAATCATCTGGACTATTGCTAGAAATCCTTTAARCTTACGAAGAATCAAAAGGTATAAAGGTAAGCATTGATTAAAATATACGATAACATATAAACTTGATTATAAGTGTGATTATGAAGGAACATGAAGTAAATGATTTATTAACCTAAGCTAAACCGAGGAATAAGAATCGTAAAACTGGTCAGAAGGTGTAGGAAATGCAATGCAATGAAGTTTGTACGTCTTTCATTGTTTCTGTACGATCAAATTTTAATATGGACAATCTTTGTTATTTAAACACATGTTAAGTACTTTACAAAAGGAGAAAACTGTTTTGTTTTTCATTTCTTGTTAGCATTTTCCGTTCGAAAGATATTCAAGTTTTAAGTTCATGCTAATTAGGAGCTTAATGACGTCATATTCTCAACTAGCAGTTTCCTTCAAGATTGATTTCAGTTATATTCCTGAAAATAATTGATGAATGTCATTCAAACTTTAAGGGTATACTTGTATTCAAAATATGGAACATGAAGATGTTCAAACCGTGGTTGCTTAAAGAAACACTATCATACTCAACTCAACTCAACTTTTTTATTTAGTGCCATAATTTACAATAATACATAAAGTTAAAGACATTTACCTAGTTAAAAACACAAGCTAATTTCGACAGATAAAGTGATTGAGGCAATTAGCTGAAAATTTGAAAAATTACATTTTTAGGTCGGGCACTGAAAAAGTAATAGTAAAATACAAAAAGAGGAGGGGGAAGAAAAAAGGGGGAAAAACAAAAGATAAAATAAAGAGAGCTCATAATAGAATGCAAGTAAAAGAATTATAA